AGATTTAGATTGGACATTAGGAAGAACTTCTTCACAGTTAGAGTGGCCAAGGTCTGGAACGGGCTCCCAAGGGAGGTGGTGCTCTCCCCTACCCTGGGGGTCTTCCAGAGGAGGTTAGATAACCATCTAGCGGGGGTCATCTAGACCCAACCCTCTTTCCTGCCTATGCAGGGGGCCGGACTCGCTGATCTATTGAGGTCCCTTCCGACCCTAACATCTGTGAATCTATATTCTGAAAGCTGCCTCAAATTTAACTTGTTTTAAAGCGATGCTAAACTGAGCTTCCTCATTTATGACAATTTCTTGAAGTACCAAGGTAGAGGGAGAGGTACTGGAATATCTTTGCAATATGAATGCCTTTCCCAGGTGATGTCCCTACAAGAAATATCAAATTGTCAAACTGGGGGGCAAATGCAAAGTTTCCACAAAGCATTATGTGCTGATGGTGCATATCTTATTTTATTTCAAGATGGCATTACCTAAATAATGTTTATTATTTATTTAGGGGCAAGACCACTTAAATCATGCTAAGTCTGGCTGGCATAATACAAAGTCCTGGAAATATTAGATGGCTGTTTTAATAATCTCTCTATCTCTCATGCAGGTTAGCTGAAGAATTGCATATGCCTTCCCTCCCAGAAATGATGTTTGGGGACAACATCCTAAGAATTGTGCACGATTATGGCTTTGGAATTGAGTTCAATGCAACAGATGCATTAAAATGTGTAAATAACTACCAAGGCATGATCAAAGTGGCTTGTGCAGAGGAGTGGCAAGAGAGCAGGTGAGCATTAACATCACAATAACTGGCAGCAGGTAGACCAGGTTGGCATCTTAGAAGTTAACTGATTCAGAGAGACTTGAGCTGTCATAGCCAGCAACCTACTTCATCGGATGCTATAAGCAGTAATTGGGGAAGTCTTCATGCCATGGGTGACTGGTGCCACCTTAGTCGGGGGTGCATGTGTTGTCGCCCAGGAGTGGGGGGAAAGGGGGTCCCTCACGGCTGATCCTGTTGACTGGGGGGACCCTGATTTCACTGCTGGTGGAGGGGGCGGGGTTCCCCCATGGCCGATCTCACTGCCCAGGGTGGGGGGGGATCCCTGCGGCCGATCACTGCAGCCTCTTTCGGAAGCGGCTGCAGCGATCGGGCGGTGCTTGCAGGGGGGGCGCTCCTACCTGCCCATCGCCTAAGCGGCGAGTGTGGCCAGTCAGGGGGTTCACGTTCCCCCCCAGTGCACCCCCTACCCATCGCCATTGATTCATGCAGTGGGAAGGGGCATGATGCCAGGATTCTTAGTGCTATTTGGTATTTGGCTTTCTCTCTCACTCATTCGTTCAGATCTAAAGCCTTTTAACATTTCTGTACCCTGGTATCCCCATCTAGAAAACTGGAGTAATTCATTATATGTGCCGCCTGCTTCTTACGAGTGTTGCGTCTTACTTCACACCTATGGTATATCTACTAGTGCAATGAAGTGTTAATGGAACTGTACTACTTCTGGTGCCCAAAGTTGCTAATTCAGAGTATGTCAGCATAGTATTTGTATCATGTTAGACATACCTATGCTTAATTTCTATCAAATAGTATTAGTGGGAGAAAAATTCAGTGGCTTGGTTGTGCAAGATTGACCTTTAATGTCCCTCAGTTGAAGTCACCTTCAAAATTTTAAATGCTGGAAGGTTTTTTGTTATATACTTACGTTGGTTCAGGGTTCTGTAGTCGTCAAGTTGTTTTTGGTGCAAAGAGGATTTGGATTTATCCTGATGTCTAAGGAGAGCTGTATTATTGATTTTAATGTCAGATATGTTCTGCTAACAGACTGTCCTTCCTGTGTGAAAGGGTAGGCTGAAACTTCCGAGTACAGTGTCTGAAAACGTCATATTTGAGATCATGCTGTCTTCACTCCTAGGAGCGGGACAGTTCTAGAAAAGTGGGCGGTAGTCTTCAAAATCACTGTAGGGCCTGATGTCACAGTTTCTGCACAGAAAAAATAAGGACAGTAGTGTGGGCACTATAGCATGCGTCTTCCATGTGTGGTATTTTAATGTTAATATTTATAACAGTGTAGTGAATTCTTTTCCCTTGTTGAGGACCGAAGCTGAACATACTAAGGAAGTTGTTAAGCCATATGACTGGACTTACACAACGGACTACAAAGGAACGTTACTAGGAGATGCTGTAAAATTAAAGGTGACTTCATTTAAAATGTTTATTGCATGGTACTTTGATAAACCTACTTGTATATTGTTTTACTGAAAATTAAAGCATATCTAGATTGTGAATTTGCATAGTTTCAAAGAGCTTCTGCTCTTGAAGGTATACTGAGTGTTTCTAATGTCTATTTTAGGTTTTTGGGGTTTTTTTAGCAAAGAATGGTTCAAATAATCAAAATCTAGTAATAAAAATTGAGTGGCCACAAATCTTAAGAATTTGTTCCATGAACAAATATGGAATTATCCTTAATGCTTAAGGACATCCTTCACTCCCTCCCAGAGCCTGGGACTCCCCAGTTACACTTAAGCTAATGGTCTCTCATGATTGGGTGATACCCTAACCCTGCGCAGCTTACCAGTTGGCTGTGATCCTAGATTTGGTTGTTAGTGGTTCTGAGTTTGCGTACAGTGAAAACTATTCTCATGGTTTTTCTGTCACAACTCCTCCCTATTACGTCATAACCAATTTAATTGAACCTTGAATTTTCCGGTGCCTTTTTCACCTTAAACAGTCTTCCCCCTGTAGACAGATAGTTCTGTTTAATCTTCTAAGATTATTATAAAACACTTGCAGCATTTTGTAGTATCTGTGGTTGGCTCAGTGTCTCTGAGTGTGATACCTTTGAAAGATAGAGGCAGCTTCAAATGTGCATGTAGAGCGGAATGTGGAAAAGGATAAGACGCCCAACATTTCAGTGAAATTAAAAGGAAGGAACAGGATCATTGGATCTGCATAATGTCCTAGAATTTGAGGCAAAGCTATGTTAGTTACAACCTTATTTATACAAAAAGTCTTCAGAAATATATGGTAGTAGACTTGGCACTTTCCCATTGTTTTGAAATCTAGAACACAGGCAAAACTGGTCACAGTTGTTATTTTAAAATGAAGTTCAGCAAAACTCACGTTCAGCCTGCCTCAGTGAGCCTGATGACAGCATGTGAGACATTGAAACAGAGTTTCTTGCTCAGTTACATATTTTTTCTTGGAATGTTTTAACTTTTCTTGTGAAAAGCTTGAGTGAGGGTGGTCTTTGACTGCATTGTAAAAATTAAAGATTATTTACTCTAGGGCAAGGGTGTCAAACATAACGCTCGTGAAGCCAATCTGTCTGGTCTGGCAAGGCCATTGAAAATTGGGGGTATGTCCAGGGTCATGTCCTCTGCTGCAGAATCTGGGGCCCTTGGGCCTGACGGACATGCCTATCAGTGGCAGGACAGCGAGTGAGAGCTGACACGCGGCTACAGCAGTAGTGACAGACTATCTCCCTGGCTGACAGCCCCCACTGTGTGCCTCATGCTGGAGCTGGAGGTAGGCCTATTGCTGCAGCAGATGGAGCTGCAGCTCTGGCTCCTGCATGGAGCATGTGGTGGGCGATGGAGCCCCCCAGCATGCCCCAGGTCAGAGTCCAAGCTGCTGCTATCTCTGCTGCATGCTCCAGGTCAGAGCTGGAGCTGCCACTGCTGCTGTTTCTGCATGCTCCAGACTGAATCCGGCTCTCAAGGAACCCCATGACCCAGACCTGGCCTGAAGTACAAAGTGAGTTTGACACCCCTGCTGTAGGGGACTGGAGAATGAAGGGTTTCCAGCAGAAGACAAGCTGCAGTCTTTTAACATCCCCTTGATATTCTAACTTGCTTTTTTAGGTGGTTCCTACAACAGACCATATAGACACAGAGAAATTGAAAGCCAGGGAACAGATAATGTTTTTTGAAGAAGTTCTCCTTTTTGAAGATGAGCTTCATGATCATGGAGTTTCAAGTCTGAGTGTAAAAATAGTGAGTTGAATTACTTCCCATCTATATATCCCCATGAATAACACTGCTTTCAAGGTAAAGTTGAAGTTAAAAGTGCAAAGTGCACAGACTAAAATTTTAAAATCCTTTCAGTTTAAGTAATGAAGTTGACATTACCACCATAAGTAAGAGTCACATCCCCTTTAGTCCTGCCTTGATGAAGGATTTCTCTAACCCATAAGGCCTCTGCTGTTTTGCTGTGTCTTTTCTAGAAGATATAGCTTTTGCTACAGAAGAGGGGGGTCTTTTTCTTCTCTTTGAATATGTAAGTGCAGTAGAAAAGTGAAATATTAACACCAATATTCCAACGTTCATTTCTTTGGTAGGAGATCGTGGAATCCCCTTAAATTACCATATTTCCTTGCATACACACAGCCGCAAATAAGACACATACCTTGTTTTTGGAAGGCAGAACATAGAGAAAAAGAGTTTTTTCCAGAGTCATGGCCAACTGTATGATGTGGATTTAGTCCTCCTGGAAACATATTTGTCCAGGAAGTGTGGCATCCCAGAAAACAGTCTTGGTGAGGCAGCAGGAACTTCCTGGTATGGCAGGACAGCAACAAGGCTAGGCTCCAGACCCTTGCAAGGTCAGTAGGAAGGCTGTTACTTCATTACTGTAATAGTTCTTTATATAAGTTCCTGTAAATAAATGCTGTTTCCATACTACACGCCTCATCAAGGTAATGCTGACTGCATGCAGCAGTTCACTTGCCCTGAGCCAGCTCCGTTGCTCCTTTAGGTGCAAGCTGTGTTGATCAGCCAATAGCTACTGCAGATTGTTTAGCAGCTGTGAAAGGACTATGCCTGGACTCTGCCCCTTCTGCTTGCTGGGCCCCAAAAAAGTGGCAGCTGTTAAAGCACAACACTACCATGCTTCTGTTCCTGCTTGTAAAGAAAAATTAGCTTTCCCATTTAAAATACACAACCTAATTCTGAAGGGCTGATTTGAGGATGGGGTGGGGGAAAGATGCATGAGGTGTGCAAGTAAATACAGTAATACTATGGGATTTCTCTCTCTTTTTGATGCAGGTATGAGGCCTGGCTAATATGCTAACCTGTATTACAAGCTTAATGGCTGCTCAGGATGTCTAGTGCCCAGCTAGCTAATGTATCTTCTCTATGTCCATGCTTCAGCCTAAATTTTAGATTTTAGGATGGAAAGTTTTTGGTATTTGTTTTTAAAAACAACATTGTAGAAAAAATAGCTCAAGTTCAGATATTTTAATCTCTGATCTAAATATTTAAATATATCATGTTGGTTTCACAGTAAAATATCACAATGTGTCATATGTACTATCTTGTTTTTTGTAGAGAGTCATGCCTTCCAGCTTCTTTGTGTTGTTGAGGTTTTTCTTGCGAGTTGATGGTGTGCTTATCAGGATGAATGATACAAGGCTATATCATGAGGTAAATGTTCATGTCTTACCTGTTTTTCATGTTTCACTTGGGAGGAAGCAGCTTTCACTGTTACGTCCTGTCAGAGGAACTGCACAAGTTGAAACAGTTCAGCACTCACACTTGAAAGAATAGGAGGTGGCTGAACTTTACATCCAAGTTCATTAGATTAGATGGATCTATTATGGAAGAGCCTAAATACTGACAGATAACTGTACCCTCTCTTTTCCCTGCTCTGAAGTACTCATAATCTCAACAGACAGGCCACAGGGTAAGGAAAAGGAGGAATTGCACGTGGAGTGAATAGTGCAACACTGTTCTTTCTATTATTTTCTTCTAGCCTCCAACTCCCAACAACATTCACACATCTCTTTTTTTTATTTGCCTCATATTTTCCTATTTCAGAGAAGGGAGTGAGTTTAAGGGACTTGCATGTAGAACTGAGCCAGAGTTCCCGGCTCTCCATACTTTGTGTGGTGACTTTTGGGGAATTTATTTACCTTTCGCTTCAGTTTCTGATATCTAACTTACCTGATGGGATGTTGGAACTTAATTCATGTCTCTGAGGCACTCTGAGATACATAGGCAAGTTGTGGTTGGTCTCTTTCTATTATACTTGGTCGGGGGTAGACAAAATATGGCCCAAGGACTGGATCCGGCCTGCCAGGCACCTTCATCCAGGATTGGCTCCCCCCAACAAGTTGTACCCCACCCAGCCTTTCTGTCTGCAAGGTGCCTACATCCACCCTTAACATACCCTATTATGCCTCGCTCCCACCCTTGTGGGCAGAAGGACCTGCCCCCCACTATCACTAGGTGGGGCTGCTGCTGCAGACTTCCCTGGCTTCCCACTCCCTCTGGGCAGCAGGTAGGGAAGCTGGGGCCGCAGTGGCAGGGCTGCAGTTGGGCAGGAGTGTGGGGCTGGTGGCAGTGTGGAGCCCATGCCCAGTGGGGCAGGGGCAGTGCAGAGCACAGCTGGGCAGGGTGTGGGTGTGAGGGAGGGTGGGGGGTAGGGGGACCCCTCCCACACTCCCCCAATGGTGCGCAGCCCTGACAGGCAGCAGGGGCAGCAGCAGGCGGGGCAGTCATGGTTGGCGCTGGTACCTGGCTCTGGCCAGCGCTGCACATCAGCCCCCACTGGGCTGCCTGTATGGGAGGGAAGCCCCAGGCACTGGAGCCAGCCGGGGCAGGGAAGGCAGCTGGCTCCAGCACCTGGGGCTTTCCTTCTGTGCTGAGCGAGTGTGGGGAGTGCCGGCGATAGAGAGAGCCCAGCAGGGGCTGCACACTTCGCTGCAATGTGCAGTGCTGGTCAGAGCCAGGCGCCAGCGCCCCCACCTGCAGCTGTGCCATGGAGGGAGTTGCAGGGTTGGGGGGGGTTCCCCCCCCAGGAATATTTTGGGGGAGAAAGAGGGGCAAGGGGAGGGATTTCTGGTGGCAAAGGTCAGGGGTTAGGGGTGGGATTTCTGGTCCCAAGATGGCAACCAGGGAATGGGGCAATCGTCAAGGGGCGGGGCTCCCTTTGCAGCCCTCAACAGGTCACCAAACCTCATTAAGTGGCCCTCTGCCCAAAATAATTGCCCATCCCTGTACTAGGTAGAAAACTATGGGACTACTGGGACAGGTTAGCTGTTGCTGGAAAGGGAACTGGGAACAACTTGCTGTAGGATCTTAATTCAACATTATTTAATGCTGTCATCTGATTTAGTCATTGAGAACGCTGAACTTACTAGCTCCATTGACAAAATGGCAACCTGCTATGGAAGTTAGAATCTGTCGTATTGTAGTCACACTTTGAGACGCTACCTTAGAGTACGAGTCTTCTGCCTCTCAAGTCATGGAACTCCCTAAGCCTGTTATCAAGCATTTGGAGACAGGGATTTATTATATGGAATTGTCTGAGGTGTCACCTTCCTTTTGTTGCCACTAGTATGTAAAGGCTGGCTGCTGTATTCAGTGTACCTGTTTCCCAAAAAGTCTGAAAGGAGAGATGGCAGCCACCTTTGGTGGCAGGTCACTCAACGGCCACCTGGAGCATACTACACTACTCTCTGCTTGAGGACATTTCTGTGATGTGTTTTTCCAGACCAACATGCAAGTAATTCCTGACATTGTACTTGAGCCCCAGCATCTCATGTGATGCATAAAGCAAAATTGAAGGTATTGCTGGCATGAATGTTGCTTGCTAGCACCTTCAGTGCCCTTAGAATGTCAATAACTGAATTTCATCCAAAGATGAGCAAGCATACTAAATCCTTGTCATTCAGATAAATGACTTCTAGATCAAAATTAACTAAATGTATTTCTCTCCCTATCATGATGAACTTGACTTCAAGCCTTTGTACTGAATAAAACTCTTCAGTTAGTCAAATTCAGACGAGTTTAAATTTAGTTACAAAGTTTACTAATGCACAGAATAGTAGGAGATATTTTTTGTAACTATTTCACCTGTCTTCTCTTCTTAGGCTGATAAATCCTACATGATACGAGAATACACATCTAGAGAAAGCAAAGTGTCAAGCTTAAAGGTATTGCCTTTCAAATACATTTTTTACATGCACTAATTTTATTGTCTTCCGACTGGCATAGGAAACGCCACACCAGATCAGAACTCTGCTTAGCTTGATATCTTCGGGGAGGCAAAACTCTTCTGGCCAGTTGTGTAGTACTGTTTCAGGATCGGTTAATCTGTCATGCATAAAATCAGATTACTTTTACGAAGAGATGTGGATTGAATGGGGGGAGACATTAAATTATTGATAGAATTATTTAGCCACAACATAAGGTACTTCCAGTTTCTTGTGGCAATGAATTTCACAGATTGCCTGTTTGCATATACTGATGCCCATCATTGAGATGCCTTTCAGAAGTCGTATAATTGACTTGGCTTATAGTTTTAAAAAGTGCATGTATGCAACAGGACAGCCCTTTCAAAAATGACTGTAAAAGGTCCAATTATTTGGAATTAGCAGTCATCACTATTGAGTTCCATTCCTGATTGCACCTTTGACTGTGCAGCTTACATGAGACTTAGATGATTCAGTCTCTCTCAACCTTGTTTCCTCAGTCTGCACAGGAACCTTTGGGCCAAACTTTCAGAGAAGTTCTGAGTCTTTGTTTTTAATGCTTGGAGATCCCTGTGCTATAAGACTGACCCTTACAGGATGTAGTTGCTGGCCTGTCTGATTCAGTCTACCATAAATCCAAGTTCATGTTCCTGAATCCACAGAGCTGTCAGTGAGCTGGTTTCTCCCCTTCTTTGTTCTTCAAAATGTTCATTTAAGCTCTTATGGAATTGTTATTACTGCTTTATGTTAGAAATACAGAACACACATGGCTTTTTCACCTCCTTAATAGAGTTTGCAGAGCTGCTTATTAATGAGGAAACAGTTTTCACTCATTATTTCAGAACTTCAATGTTTTTTAAGGTTTCAGAGTTTCTAAATCTTTGAAACAATAAGCAGCCCCACACGTTAGGTCAGGCTGAAATGTGGGCTTTATTCCAGCAGCTTTTGACACTGCTCTTTTTTTCTAGTTACTTTATAAGTACTTAATTATATTGAGTGAGCTCAGAATATCTTTTTCCTTCAAACTTCTTGTAAGTAATGTGGCTATTTTGTCTCTCAAAGATCCTACAGAGAAACGAATTTATAAAATGTCTTGGTCTTTTTGAGTTGCTTGATTCTTGGTGTAAGATGCTTGAATGTGACCTGCTCTTTTAAATTCTTAGAATGAGTGCACTTCTGGTCTGAAAACAACCTTTTCTAGAACCAGGTTTTGCTCCCTTTGTGTGTTCAGAGTTCTGTAACTTTACTGATAGCTTTACTGATAGCTGTGTTGGGCTCTGTAGCCCTATGAAGAATTGTACTGCTATCATCAGAACTTAGTGCTACAAGTGCATTTAAAGTCATAGAGTAAACAAAAAGGAGAGAGCTGATTTTTGAGTATACATGCTTAAAAATTTCACGAGTGGGAGTTGAACTGTGATCCTTAAACTTGACTTTGAGCAGCTTCCTTTATCTTATGATTTACACACTGCTAACTAAAATATTTTTTGCTTCTTAGCATGTTCCACCTTCCCTGTTCACGGAGCCTAATGAAATTTCTCAATACTTACCTGTAAAGGAGACTGTGTGCGAGAAGCTAGAATTCCCAGCGAAGGTGGATCCTGAGCCTACCCCTTCACCAGAAAGCACGTGCATGGAATCTAAATCAGTGTGACTTTATGTGGACTTGAAGTGGCCCCCATTCTGGAGACCATATGGTCATATGTCAATTACCATTGGCATGGTTTCACTATTTGTGGAATAAAAAGAGTTTGGCTAATTTTTCTGTAGCCCTAAAATGTAATTTCAGGCAGGTTTCACTAATGTGTTTTATTTTATTTTTTAATTTCAAACCTGCATCTGAAATTAATAATAGACTGATGATAAACCGGAGTCTTAATTGGCTCGGGAGAATAGACTCCCCACCCTCCCTAGTAGTTTTTGTTCTCTTTTTAGTTTAGACATTTGGTATGTTGCCTGAACCCTCCGTTACCAGTGCTCTGCATGAAGAAATTTTTGCTCCTGCTATCAAAAGGCAAATATCATTCACAGAATCAAGCCTCTATTTTTATACAGGGTTCTTCTACAAAAGATTTTTTTCTCTGTGGTGTGTATGGTTGAGCTTCAGTTCTCCCTTAGAAAACTTGCTTGGCTCCTTGGGTACAAGCTGACAAACCTGTGTAAGTACTTTCTCTGAATTTTAAATCCACATATCTTATAAGAGGCTATTAAGTCTTTTAGTCACAAATAGCTTAAAAATAGCAATGTGCAAAGTATTAGTGTCAGACACTACTGAACGGTAAAAGCTACCTTGTTTAGGAGCTGCTAGCTAGGAGCTAAGAGACAGGTAGAGGTTAGCAAAAAGCTACACAGTGGCAAGTTTGTCAAATACTAATTTTCTCTGAGGTCAGTCAGCTCAGCCTCTCAAGGTGCCACTAGCATCTGTGGGTCTTCCATGGGTTAGGTGTGCTGCTGACACAGTGCTTGGTTATGGAAATGCTTTGTACTTTTGCCTTTTTGGCAGCTATGCCATGTAGTTGGTGCCAATTTAAACTGATTATACTGCTCTGAGAATCAAACAGCTAAATTCCTGGGATTCTTAGAGAACAAAACCAAACAAAATTCCAGTTCCTAAATGGGATGAGGATTGACAGTTTAAGAGATGCAGGGGTTTATCTAGCCTTAAAGGAACACTGTCTAATGTTCCAGGCCTGAAACTTTTTTTGTCCTGCTGTAAATCTTGCTATGAACAGAAATGCATTCATTTACATTTTAATTATCCTGTTCAAACTCAGTACCGTTTTGTAGCTAGAAACACTTACCCTGTATTACAGTAAACACTCCTGCTATGGCATGAGAACCAGGAAGTTAAACCGATTGGTTTAGTTTCGTTACTTAGGTTGAATGGAGTACAGGAAGCAAATGCTGGGTGTGGCAAAAATACCTCTGTTAAATTGATTTACTAGTCAAAGGTGGTAGCAATAATTCTGATATGGGAAACATTTGAATGTCATCATCTTGTAAACAAGCATGTATTTCTTATTGTCTCTTTGCATTTAAAATATGCAATGTAGAGTGGGCCCATCTTGATGAGATTTAATTTTTTTAAGTGGAAAACCAAAATAATTATAACTTAAAAAAATAGTTTTTAAGATGACAATAACTTTTTAAAGAAAGCTACAGGCATCTTAATGACAGCTATTGTTGTTCTGAAGATTCACCTTACCCTTTTAGTGGGGCAGTATGGGCTGGTAGGTAGAGCCTGGGACCGAAAGGCAGGAATTCAAAAAGTAA